ACATCATTGTCCAGTATTGTACTGTCAGCAATTTATTATAAAAGCTTGTACATAATTGTAACATACATATTTACATACACTAAAATTCAAAAAGTGAAAAAGCATAATAGGACCCCTTTAAATGTTTTCCAAAGCACGTTCAAAGTGAAGACTTCAGGCAGGCCACAAAACCCATTTACTTCACTTTTTTGCCTCCATTTGTTGTCAATTTAGTCATTCCTTTCATGACATTTCATTATTGTGAAGTGGTGGTCTGCCATATGTAGATCAGCTCTCTGTGCTCTCTACAGCAGAGGGAGGAGCCTGGGGTTTAGAAAAGCCTTTGAGTAGGAACCTGACCTAGATACACTCTTAGAAATAGAGAGGGAGAGAGAAGTGGGAAAACTGTGTATTTGTGTGGAGCGAAGGGCATAAATGGAAATATCTGCATGGTTGACTTTTGTTTTTGTAAGCTATGTTCATGGCAGGATTCTAAACGTGGATTAATTTGAGAGCGATGGAGCAGGCGAGCTTCATTTTTATCCTTGTTCAGTCTCTAAACATACAGCACCAAATCTCTTTCCACAGAGGTTGGAAAACCGGCATGTAGTGAGCACTTGTTCATGTTGTCATGGGTATTTGCGGTTATTTCATCAGTGCTCCCCGCTCAAGTCTCTGTGTGTTTCTTTCTGAGCCTCTTTTGTATTAAAAATATGCAGCTTCCTCTTAATTAGGCTGGCCACCACAGTGAAGTTCTTACAATAATGTCTTAATGTGTTAATCAGAAACTGTTATGGTCTTAAATGAGGTTAGTACCTTTGTTATTGCTGCTAGAGCTGTATTTAAAATATGATCCATACATGAATTCAGTCTCACTTAATGACACTCTCAGGTACTCTTTTCAGCTCTAATGGTTATTGTACATCAATACCAGAGGTGATGTAATGAAGTGGACAATGCTGTAGTGTTGTCTTATATGAGATAATCATGAGTCTTTGAGCTCCATAGGTCTTCTGTGTGAAATATTTTTCCAGAACTGCTTTCATTGAATTTTTTTCTGCATTTTATGCGAGACTGAGATAAAACTTTTCTGCAAGTTTCTTAAACAATTAATGGACCACTTAAGCATCATTGTAGGAGCTGCACAAACCAGAACCATTTGAACTGTCAGATTAAGCTCACGTTTTCTGTGTGCTATTGTTGGTAAAAGATTGTTCTAGGAACTTTGTGTAGAATGCTTCCAAGCTAGCCAATGTGAGCGATGTAAAATTTAAGTCAAGATCTCAACAAAACAACTTTTGTTAAGTTTAGGTCACAAGAAAATTAATTTGTGGTCACTAGAATGCAGGACAGAAAAAAATAATGGTCTCTTAGTGCTTCTGTACACTTTTACCTGGAGTACTATTTTTTATTTACAGCAAATTATTATTTAAGTAATTCTGATTATATTAATTTGACATGAAAATGCATTATTTTACTTGTGTTTAGGTACTTTGCTACTTAGACATTACAAAGTTCTACAATACCGACGAAATGTAATTTCTGTTGGTGCGTTCAGAGGAGAAGGGACAGAGAGGTGTGGAATAAAGGTAAATTATGTGAAAAATAACAAAAGTTTTTTAACAAACTAAGCATTAACACATGTTAGACTGCACCCCATAAACACAATCAAGCCTATAAAAAAACAGTCAACCACTCCTTTAAAATACCTGAACTGGAAAATTTCAGCAGGCTTCTGCTATGAATCATGAGGAAAAGGTGTACAGGTGCAAAATGAATATTAACCACTACATATATTTGCCATAGCAACATCCTTACAGGGTGCCTGATTTAAGCTGTAGCCATAGCAACATCATTTTTGGTACATTTCGTTATCTGTGTTTTCTGTTTTTATGACTGTTTGTTTATAGAGACATTTCTCACTCACTGTATGTTTATTTATCAGTTTATGTCATTTTGTGTCCTTATTTATTAGAGGAGATCTTTTGTTTGTTTATTTGAAGTGATATTTTCTCATATGTTTGATAACGAACAAATTTAATACATCAGCATCGTTAATGTGTCTGCTTATTACCAGGATTAATTATTCACTGGAGAGCGGAAAGAAAGAAAATGAACAAAGGTTAGCCCGAGGCTCTATCTCCAGCTTTGCTGTGAACAAATTTTTCTACATATTAATTTTTTAATGTAATAGTCATTTTCATTCTCAAGTTGTTTCAAAGTACACGTCATGCCACTTACCTGCCATTGTTCTCTAATAGTGCTGATGCATACTGTAGTTTCAGATTAGGATGTCTTTAGATGGGTAACTTGCAATTAATTTTAATGTCTGTTTTATGAGCAATTTTAATATTTAGGAACTAAAAGAATCTTACACTAGCATTCAAAAGATTTTTTTTTTTTTAAATGAATACTTTTATTCAGCAAAGATACATTAAATTGATCAAAAGTGACAGTAAAGACTTTTGTAATGTTACAAGGAATCCTGAAAATGTATCACGGTTTCCACAAAAATATTAAACATCACAACTATTTTCTACATTTCTAATAATAAGAAATGTTTCTTGAGCAGCAAATCAGCATATTAGAATGATTTTTGAATGATTTCGGATTTCTGAATCATGTAACACTGAAGATTAGAGTAACAGTAATAAGTTACATAAAGTTATCTTAAATTGTAATAATATTTCAATAAAACTATTTTGAATTAAATGAAGGCAGACTTGGTGAGCATAAAAGACTTCTTTCAAAAACATTTAAAAATCTTACTGTCTCCAAACTTTTAGATTTGGTTTAGATTTGAAGAGAATTTGTGTGAATAACTGATAACTGATTTAAATATGTTGTTGAAAATGAATTTGTCAGGAACTACATTGCCTTTTAGGAATTGAATCAGACTCAGTGATTAATCTTTGCTGTATATATTACTACTCATATCAACACTCAGGAGAGCCGTATATGTTTAAGTAGGGTGGCCATGTGTGCCATTTATACAGGACACGTCCTGGCCAGGATTTTTATATTGTCTAAAACATCCAAAGTTGTTTAACTAATAACTTGCAGATATTGTACATAATCGACCAATTGTGGCGTGTCGCGTGTGAGAAGGTGAGAACAATCAAAGCTATGCAAATATGCGCACGTGTTCGTTCGTTCGTTTGACTTGAAGCTGCGCGCCAATCGTTGTATGACACCAAAGTAAGAGAGCGATTTGAAAGCATAAGGAGCCGTCTGCTCTGCTCTCTATAGCTCTCGTGAAATAATGTCATACAACGATCAATCTGCACAGTGCTAACAGCCAAAACCTGGATATTTTAGGCAATATAGAATCCTGGCAAGGGTGCGTCCCGTAAAAATGGCCCGTATGGTCACCCTATGTTTAAGGCATCATAACTGCTGAGCCCCACACTGTCCCTGCAATCTACTGGCTCCAGATGCACAAACACACAGCGAACTGCCAGCCTTTGTGGCTTTTATCCTTGTCCTGAATTTCCTCTTTTTGTTGCATTAAAGAATAAAAGTTCTGTTGTAAGAATTTCTTTTTTTAAAGAAAGGTTTAAGAAACCCAGATGGACTCCTCGAGATAATTGCTTGCTAAACATAATGAGCCCTTTACTCTTCTGGGTGTGGGTCAACATTAAATGAGAAATGATCTGTAATGTTAACCATGGTAAAACATCTTGCGATATAAATGGTGTGCATATAAAAGCATTTTAAATGTTGAACTCCGTCTGTCTTTCCTCTGCTTTGCCCATCTGTTTTTGTTTTCTGGGTGAGAACTTCTCTATATTATGTTTATGTAAATGAATGTCATACATCTCAAAAACGTTTTTGGTTTTGTCAGTTCTTTAGCAGTTTTAAAAGAAGTTTTCCTGCAAGTGATTGGTGTTTGTTAGCGAAACAGACACTAATTAATTCACTTCAAGGATAATTTCCCTCCACTGTATTTGCTTGTATAATTTGCAGCTTGGCTGTGGATGTAGCTTTTCTGCAAGTTTGTCATAATTATCATCAAGGTTACCGTGGATACAAAAAGCCCACGTTGCAGCAAAAACATTGTCTCTACGATGTAAACAGGCTCTCACTTCATTAATGCAAACAGCTTGATAATTAGAGAAAGCAGAAAATGCATCATACACAAACTCACAGCCTTATTTGTAGTTTATGTACTCCGTGAATATAATGTTGTGTGCCTTGGACACAAAAAAGCCAATGGCTTGGCTTCAGTTGTACACTTATACAAACCTATACACACTCCCATATAGGCATGTCATGATTATTAATTAAGGAAGTTTGATTATTTGATCTAATCACAATTGTTTCAGATCACAATTGTCAAGTTTTAATTTCAATCACGTTGTCCTTTAAATAAGGGAAATGTAAGCGCAAAAAGCAGGGGAGTCAGATTTCAGCACCACGCAGACACTTTACATTTACATTTACATTTAGTCATTTAGCAGACACTTTTATCCAAAGCGACTTACAAATGAGGACAATAAAAGCAGTCAAAACTAACAAAAGAGCAACAATATATAAGTGCAAATGACTTTAAAGGTGACATATCATGAAAATCTGACTTTTCCCGGTTTTAAGTGCTATAATCAGGTTCCCGGTGCATCTACCAACCAAGGAAACGTGAAAAAGATTAACCCAGTAACTTTGTTTTGGGAAGCCTTTTTCTGCAAGCGTCTGAAAAAACGAGCGCGTCAG